CGCCCATTAGTAGTCACACAGTGGTAACCTCGGCTATCTGGCAGATTTCGGGCATCTCCGTCCTAAACTTTGAAACTTGTAGTTCGCTGCGCTTGTGGAAGTCAACTGAAAGATGTAGCAATCTAAGGTCTTTGAAATTTCATTTGGAAGACAATGTAATTGTCACTTGTTAGGCGATGAAGTTCTTGCACCGAACTAAGGTCTAGCTAGCTACTATCAAAAGTTAGTTCGTTTTCTGGTCAAAATCTTCCAAAAAATAAAAGTAAAAATTGAGTGTTTAATTCTTGAAACTAAAAATCACCAACAAATTATTGTAAGATCCCATCAGGCTTTTCGTGGAGTTCCCTTTTAGTGGTATCAAAGTTGAAGACAGAAGAACCCCACAATTTGCGACGAATTAGCCTGGGTTCTTTCAAACGCTCACTAACACTTAGAACTGAATTATGCGTTCTCCAATCCATCAGTCGCATAGAAAAAACTCAACTTTGTATCTCACCACTATACCAGCACATACAGGTGGTCGTGCTTCGGGTAATGAGTGAGAGGAAGAAAGCATTGCTGACAGTCAGAATTCTTGTCCTGCTTTGGGCTCTTACCGGCTGCAATTGCCTACTTGTTTTGCTAAGTTCATCAATATTCATAGAGACAGCAAACCTTTTCGGTATCTCATAGAATGACAATTTTTGAGCATTTACTATTGAAAAATTAGCAAGACTTCTCTTTCAACCTAATATTTGCATAGAGTGCGGACGAGCTTGTCCCTACATGCAATCAACTTTGCTCAAGCAGGCTAATGAATGTGGATATAGCTGCAGTCGATCTTTGATTGTTTAGGGAGCAAAGTGAAGAGCGAGCGGCGTTCATAGCTCATATTGGAGCTGGGTTTTTGGTCTGGTTCGTTTATCTCCCAGGGCTCGGAGTTATTGCTTTATTCATATCGCAACTATGGCGATTCAAAATAATTCTAGGTGCGTTTGCTCTAAGTCCATTCACTTTGATCAGGAAGAATAAGATTAAAAAAGGAACGGGTTGCCTGTCCGTTTTCTACCTAAGTAATCCAAACTTTGCACACATAAACGCGAAATTACTCCCGTAGCAACGTTATCGTATTTAAATTGTACAACTCTTTTCCTTCCCTGCTCGACATTTAAGATGACGGGGCAT